GCCCGTAGGCGTAATAGTTGAGTGAATGCTTGCTCGAACTCGTAATAAAAGTAGCTCGTAGGCTTAGTAGTCGAGTGAATGATTCGAACTCGAAATAATGTAGCCCGTAGGCGTAATAGTCGAGTGAGTGCTTGCTCGAACTCGAAAATAAAAGTAGCCCGTAGGCTTAGTAGTCGAATGAATGATTCGAACTCGAAATAATGTAGCCCGTAGGTGTAATAGTCAGAGTAGCCCGTAGGCTTAGTAGTCGAGTGAATGATTCTAACTCGATGTAATGTAGCCCGTACGCGTAATAGTCGAGTGAGTGCTTGCTCGAACTCGATCTTGTTTGCATAATAAATCTTGAACATAAAATATCGGCAAAGAAGAGGGCTTTATTTGCAAGTCATTATACAGGTGTTCATGTTTTGCGTCAGGGATCGGGCCAACTACATAAGCATGGTTCGTTTTGACCATTTGGTTCTTACAACGTTTCATGATGAGACATTGTTTGTCATGAAATAACGAAGTAACTTCCTTTGCAACAAACTTGATAATCATCACAGATGCGTTCAATGATAAAGCCCCCCAGTATACGAGGTTGATTTTAAAGAGGCCTCGGATACTCAACAGTAGTATCGTTTCCGTTATATGGCTGGTATCGATCTCTGGTTGACTTTTGCTTGGTAGTTCTTTTCGTAACGGACCTAGAAATCAACTGGTCATCTTCGACTCTTATTTTGGATTGATATCGATTGTGCACATCGGTCCAAGTGATAGCTGGGTACTCGATCAGATTTTGCTTCATCCGCCGTGAAGCCATCGAGTCCCGCTCGTTTAGACCTTGAGTGAAAGCTTGAACAGCCCAATCGTCTGTGACTGGTGGCAGATCCATTCGTTCCATTTGAAAAAGGGATACGAACTCCCTTAGCATCTCGTTATCCTTTCGTATTACCTTGAACGAGTTTGATTTTCTGGTTTCGACCTTTATGGCTCCGGCATGTGCTTTTACGAAGCAATCTGCAAGCATAGAAAAAGCATTAATAGAGTTAGATGGTAAATTATGATACCATACCATTGCCCCATTTGACAGGGTTTCACCGAATGTTTTTAATAATACAGATTCGATCTCATCATCTTCCAAATCATTGCCCTTGATAGCACACGTGTAAGAAGTGACGTGCTCGTTGGGATCGATCGTTCTGTTATATTTGGGTATTTCGGGCATACGAAATTTTTTGGGAATTGATTTTGGGGCTGCACTCGAGGGAAAAGGCTTTTGAATGAATTTTTTCGAATCTAGCACTTTTATCATTGGTGGAGCTCCCAGGATCTGATCGACCCTGGAATTATATGTTTCTACTTTTTTATCGTTGGCTTCGACTCGTTTTGTGAGTTCCTCGATCAATTTAGCAATTTCGGGGGTAGTCCCAGATTCTTGCTCATTTGACTTCACTATGGCTGGTTCCGTTCCGTGGGTGATTTCTCGAAGCGGATTGGGCTCCGGCCTGCTTTGTACCTAAGTTTGGCTCTGCAACTGAGATATCGCTATTTGCTGGGCTTGTAACATCTCGAAGATCATCCGTAAGCTGACTCTGATCTCCTTCACGTTATTGGTGTCTCGAGCTACGGATCGAATACCACATTGAATGCTTTTTTTTCGGTTCGGAACGTTGGTTCGCCTCAAGAGCCACTTATGAATTGACATCTAGCGGTACTTCGACTCGAGCTTCGGTGACATCGTTAATTCGCCTTCCAGCCCTGGGTGTCAAGTCGTTGGTTTCATCTTGAAGGCCGGTTTCATGGTCGATAGGTAAAGCCATCAATCGAGGGTTTGCCATTGCTGATTTGAAGTGGTAAACTGGTGTGTATTGCAGATTTGTATCAAACAACCACTGTTACCCTTGGCCCCACGGTGGGCGTCAAACTGTTTACCCAAAAAATGGATAGAGTTGAATTTATATATAGTTCCAAGGATATGTGGTACAACTTAATACAAATTGTATGGACAAATAGAAATATAAATATGGATTGCAAAGAATGTGAAATAGGTAAGGTTGTAAAGAAAAATGAATCTTAGGACTCAACAAGTAGAAACAATTTAAAAAGCCTCCAAGAATGATTCTTTACTATGGGAGAATATAGTATTTTTATTACAATGTAAACCCTTGAAAAACCCTGCCCTTACAGAAATGGTAACCATGCCCTTTTATAGTGAAGGGACTTCGCTCTAAGCATAATCAAATAAACACTCAGTGGGAGACCCATGATAAATCAGCTTTTCTACAATTTCTGCCAAGATTCTCTCTAGTGTGATTGCAACGGCTTTTGTATGCGAGCTCGATCTTGCTTAAAACCCTCGATTTTGGTTTGAGCTCGATTTTGACTCGAGCTCTCGGTCTTGGCTCAAGCCCGATTCTGGCTCGAGCTCTCGAATTGATTCAGGGTCAATGTTGGTTGGTCTCTGGATTATAAGCATGATAGATTTACTCTGCATCATAGTTCGATTTGGATTCGAGTTCGATAACGATGTCGAACTCGACGTGGATCCCCCCTCCCCCCGGGTTCGAGGTTTGTTTGTTCCATCTTCGGAATCTCACTTCAATCGATCATCGTTCGAACTCGATCGGAGGTGCGAAGGTTCTTTATACACCCACCAAATCAAGCTAATATGAAAATAACTTAGCAATATTGCATATTAGGCAAGACTACATAACAAGTTTTTTTCTGAAAATGTTGGGGAAATGAATAAGATAATGAGTCTATTGATCATTGTTATAGAACAGTAAAAGAAAATCCCAAGGAAGCATAACCCTGAAATTTGTTATTTTAAATTTGTGAGTTAGATTTCCAATCGTGTCTAAAAAATATTTGACTACAAGTTGGAAAGGTACATGCATTCAGGGGCGAATGTTAGACCAACTGATTTAACTGAACACATAACTTTCGACGCGGAGTAAGAATTTATATATAGAATTTCATTAAAATTATAAAATTAGTAGATATGAATCCATAACTTTAAAAATATAATAGGTTCAAAGCTAAAAACCTTGAAAGATGAACCTACCGGATTTAAATCATGGATCCGCCTCTACACGCATTAATTTCTTTGTGAGCAACATGATAAACCTGAGAAAAGTGCAGAATTATATCAGGATAAAATCATGATAAATTACCTAGAAAAAATAATATACAGAATATCCATGTAAAAATTACTTCTCATGGAAGTTTCAAGAAATTATATTAATACCATTACAGAAAGAGGATAAAAGAAAAAAAAAGTAAGGAAAAAATTAGTATTAAAGTATAATGGTATGTATATAATCAGTTTGCTTTGTTATTTCTTTTAATACAAAACAAAATCAAATAATGTCCATTTTGAACAATTTAATACAATGAAAACCAAAATATATGGCAGTATTTTAGGGCATTTTGGTGTGACGTTCCATTTTGGTTGAATAGCATTACTAGGGTCCGTTTGGCCATAAAAAGATTCCTTTTTTTTCGAATTTGTTTTCACTTTTTTGGTAAAATAGTGTTTGGTCATGAATTTTTTTATTTTCACTCGAAGAAGAATTTCTGAAAAATACTAAAAAGTTATTTTTCAAAATTTTCACTTTAGATCACTCACAAAAATTCAAAAACGACTCAAAATTCTATTCATGTTCAAACATAACTCTAATTTTCAAATACCATTTTCACTTGAAATTATTTTTTAAACGCCCACTAAGCTTGTAGTTTTTGCTTAAACAATTACTACAAGTGTTAAGATCAAAAAGTGAAGAGTCAAGAGCTGTGCCCGTCGCTTCAAATCATTTGTAGTATTCTTTAACCTGTTTGGCCAAATTTCTAACCATGTCAAAAGTGTTTTTCTTCTTTTTTAAAGTACTTTTTTTTAATTTAAAAAAAGTGATTTTGGATAGAAGAAGAAGCAGATTTTCTTGCCTTCACTGCACAAGAAAATCTGTACAATCCTTTCTTCTTCAATTACCTATTTTTTATTTTAACTCGCCTCATAATATTGTTCTCTTTAAAGAATCTGTAACAACAAAAGAAAAAAATATTAGTCATTTTAATAAAAGTGATAAAAGAGAAATAAAATTTTTGTTTAATATATAATCTCTTGAAGTGTAATATATTTATGAAATTGGTGGTGATTTGGAAATTCACCACCATCTGTTGCGTCAATTTGACATACATTTTAATGAGTTTCTGGTGTTTGATGGAAATGGGTTCTTTTGAAATCGATTTTGAGCACATTGTTAACTTGCAATAGAAATTCGTCAATTTAATATACAATTTAATGAATTTGGTGATGGTTGATGGAATTGATGATGATGAATTTGGCAGTGAAATCGGTGGTGATTGGGTTTGTGACGGTGGTGTTATTGGTGGTAATGGAGGTTTGGTGGTGGGAGTGAAAGAAGACAAAAAAATGTGTGAATAAAAAAAGGAAAAAAAAGTTAAAAACAGATGATGTTGATGTGGTAATGTGGCTTGCGCGTGTGATGCACTTTATATTGTGAAATTGGTATTATATTTTAGAATGTGGTATTAAATTCACTTTGAATAAGGATACGGAGGTACTAGAACACCCATAAAGGTCGAGTGTGAATTGATTTTCCTGGACAAATACAATGTATACAATGTATCTTATGTATTTTCTCTTTAAACTATTAAGTAATATAAAATGACTTTTGGGATCAACTTTTATATTTATTGAATAATCGTTTGATATGTTTAAATTATCTTGAAAAAATAAAGTACTTTTCAATTTTATTTATATATTTTACTTAAATAAAATAAAAAAACTTAATTATTATTTTTAATAATAAATATTTTAAATTATTTATTTACTTATATAATATTAACTAGTAAATAAATCTCTTCTTGTCCTTATTTATAATTTGATACTTAAAAATACTATTTGAAAATCTTGGTCAAATACAAATTATTGATTAGCCAAACATAAATTATTTTTTTCCAAAAATAACTTTTCAAAAAACATTAGGCTATATAACTTCACAGACCACAGACTGCCTTTTCCTCTTCTCCTAAGTTTCTCAAGCACTGTACGTATTCAATGGCTCCCAGAGGCAAACGCTCAAAGGTAAAAGAAAAATGAAAGATAAACAGCGTACATTCAAGATTCTTAAGCTATTTGAAAATAGAATTTAATGAAATCATGGGTTTGCTTGTTATAAATGCAGTTGGGTCTGCGACGAATGGATGCAGCACTGGATGCAATGGGTCGCTTAGGGTTTTCTCGTCACATCGTCCAAAAATCCATTAAAGACCTCCTCAAGGTTTCTTCTTTTTCTCCTAGCGCATTTCATTCCTTTTTTTAAAAAAACAAATTGTTTGTTGTAGGTTTATGGAGATGAAGGGTGGATATTTATTGAGGAGACTGCATACAAGCTTCTGATTGAAACTATACTTGACACTCAAGGGGAATCTGAATCTGATCACAAACATGAGCCCCAGAATCAGTTGGGAGAAATTGGTGCTGATTATGAGCCCCAAAATCAGTTGGCAGAAATTGGTGCTGATTCTGAGCCGCAAAATCAGTTAGCGGAAATGGGCAGTGGCTATGGAAGTTCGAATTTGCATGTAAAAAGTGAGAATCTTGCAGAACCTTGTGATAAAGAAGTGTGCGAAGAGCATGATCAAGTAGATGGCACTCCTGTGAAACTTGATGAACAAGAAAAAAGTGAAGAACATGAAAAACATATAATTGGAAACGTTCTGCTATTTGAGGTAATCCCACTTAGATTCATTGGTCAATTTGCATCACGAATCATGATTAAAGTTTTATATGCAAAGTCAATCAATGTAAATACCCCCAGTATACTCTAAATTAAGGGGTATGTTGCAGGACAGGGTGGATGTAGAGTTCAACTTATGGGTTCATCTGACCCCAATAGCTTTGGCTCCGTTTCTGTGTATGTGTTTCAAAATTCAGTAAATTAAGTACAAATAATTGACTTCAAACCCAATAAATTAAACGAGGAATTGTAGAATACCTGGCTTGAACCCATAAAGTGCAGATCTTGGATCCACCTCTGTTGCAAGAGTCAGAGACTATGTTGACATTGACTCATTGCTGCTTTCTTCTTGAAGTGGTTTTGTTAATATGAGATTGGATGAGAACAGGGGAAACTGTATAATTCTCTTACTGGAAATTAACAGTTACGGGAGTAAATTCAGAAAGAGCAAAACATTCTTGGTGATTCTTGAACTTAGAGAAGTACTATAGGGCCATTATGGTAATCCATTTTGGTAATATTATTATACCTTTTGGGTGTAATTTTGGAAGAACTTTCTCCAACTATGCAGATAGGTCCACCTTTTGAAGTAATTGTAGACATGAACCATACTGCTCTTGGTTGAACCCGAAGAACCTCACAATTTAAGGTCAATGATTAGGAACAACAGAAAGGAGTTAAGTAAAATGAATTGTTTGTGCTAGTTTAACAGAGGGAACTAAGTCATGAGCTTGCGGGAAGTCATCTTTTGAGGCTCCTTCACCAAACCTTCTAAGGTCAATTTGGAGAACCAAAATATTCAGAGAAGGAATAGCATCAAATGACAAGAACCTGAATCTGTCGAAAGTAGAGTGAAACAGTAAGGAATAACATAGAAAGCCCTTAGGCAGCATCTACCATTTCTTAGCTTCGTCTGTATATTAGTATATAAGCAAAAAACAGAAAATGAGTACAATATGCAAAGTTTTATAGCATCACTACTATTCTTCCTCAAGTTCAGCTTGTTTAGCATGTTGCATCAAGGTCTATTTGGAAAGATAACACAATGTTTGATCTAAATGTCTTATTAGTGCTGTTTTTTTTCCCTTGATCCCCTATCCTGTAACTGCTGTTATAATTCCTTGTCTTGGCAAATTGAAGATTCTTTTTAGTCTATTTTACAGGACATTGCTCCATTACACTCTACTCCGGTGAAAGATGTTTTCCCAAGTAACCTAATTCGCAAACCATGTTATGGATGGATTAGTGACGACAGTGATTAAGATGAGAAGGATCTTGTATCGTTACCCTCTGGAAAAACACATTAACTGGTGATAGTGATAGAGTATTTATCATAAATTATCGAAGCTTCGTATCAGAATCCATTTGATATGATGTTACCAAAGTAGGGTATATCTAAAATTCTGAGCAACCTACAGTTGCTTCAACATCACTATGAGGAGTAAGCAATGTGGTATTTGGTGGTCTTCTGGCTCTGCTCGCGGAGAAAGGAAAAAGGTATACAGTGAGAGTCTCCTTCTTAGATGGTCATTAAACTAATACATTCTTGTTTATAGTTCCAATTATGGTAGTTGGAGATAATGCTGAAGGTGGCTTTGAAATGCAAACTTGTATTGTTAAACATGTAAATATAATTTAGGGTTGTCTTAGTCTTGTAGATTGCTATGGGATAATCTTATACCAAAATGCATTATGGAAGTAATTGGTGTTTAAATTCATGATGTTCTACAAGTCTTTAAAATCTACAATTACGTAAGATCAGAACAAGAGGTGCCTCCAGGGGCTTGTAAACTTCCTTATAGCAATTAATATGTATTTTGCATGTTCTTCTGGTAATCCTTTTCTCCTTTCTGGGAAAAGGTCCAAATTTGATTTTGTATTACTCGAAATTGTTCAATTTTGTCCTTCGTTTCACTTTTGGTCCATAAGTGACTTAAATAGGGTATATAGCATGGCAGATACTAGGCTAAATCCAAAGCATTAAATAGTAATGCATCTGATTAAAGTTCCTATAGTCCATTTTGGTTGGTTGATTATGACATGAAATATTTGGGAGAATTTTGCAGCTTATGACTTCTCCACTGCGCATTGCACAAAATTTTGCAAAGTATACTCGCTCGGAGTTAAAACAGTTTTATCTCTTCAATGCAACTTTAGGATCCGGATCTGAAATTCTTCTATCTTTCAAATGCAACTTCAGAAATTCGAATCTTAAATAGTTTAATCTATTCAATGCAACTTTAAAAATCAAATCTGGAGTTCTATCTTTTGAAATGCAATTTCAGATTTCGAATCATAAGTTCTGAAACATAAACTTGTTCTTTGAATTTCAACAATCCAATACGCGATTCAACGTCCAAATCTACTCCAAATGACTTTCAAATATAATAAAGAATAAACCGCAATTATCAAATTGTCAAAACAACAATAAATTTAACAAATTCATTTTGCCACTAAGAATAAGAAGAAACCCTAAGCACAATGAAGAAGAAAGCAACAACGAAGAATAAAAAAATGTATGTATATGAAGTTATCCAAAAATTGAGAATCAATTAAACTTTTTTTAAAAAGTAGACAAATTCCATGGATGGCGTAAAACTAGGCTCCACATGAAAATTTTACCACAATATATGGGGATCCAAGCACTTGCAGTCCACACAGACCAAAATACCTTTGATGGTTTATTGGTTGTAACTTAAGAATCCAGCAGAAAGTATGCGGTCTTTTTTTGGCTGGGAACCCAATTCCCATGTTTCTTGGGTAGTCAGTACAAGCCCAAGTTGGAAATATATCCAACCTACGATATATGATTAACTCAAACTAAAGCTTCGAAGTTATTGCAAAACTTGAGCATTGACTAACAAAATGTCTTCTATGCCAATACACTATGTCTATACACTGATATCAAAGAGCATTAGAGAGAGGATACTAAGGATCATTGGGTCTAATATCCCACCTTGATTTGCGTTTCATTTGCTTATTGGTACCACCACTTGAATTTTGTGACTGCAGTGGTGTAGTTGGTTTCATTGGTGGTAATTGTATGAAGTCGTCAGCATCCTCTTCGTCATCACTTCCAATCCAGCCATAACAAGGAACGCGCTTTCTTGGTGGAACACTAACTGGCTTTGAGGAAGGAAGAGTTGTTGTGTGACGATCAGCAGGGGGAGGGAGACTACTAATTGGGCTTGAGGAAGAAGTTGGAGGCGGAGTAGAAACATGAGAGTTACTCCGTGATTTCACTTGGCTCACAGAACTCATTTTGAGACGATTAACCGGGCATGAGGAAGTAGTTGGAGATGGAGAAGAAACATGAGAGTTACTCCGGGGATTTTCACCATTGCTGAAAACAGCATTAGCCAATCCTTTTTGTGTAAAGATTTGATCCTCCCCTATGTCTGTCCATCTATTTCCATCTCTTTCAGCTGGAGGGGGACAAAATACTTCTGCAAAATGGGGTTGTTAGGGAAATTTCAGTAACATGGCTTCAAATTCATGTAGGCGCAGTATTCTTACATTCCAAGTCCCCAGCACGGGTGAAACTATGGCAGAGAATGAAATGCTGCATCTACACTAGACAAGAATGCAGTATTTATATCTTCCCTAATCTGTTGCTATACTAAATTCGTATATCTGATTTGGATGCAAGCTACTCATGCATTAGCTAGGCCTGAATTTTTCTACTTTGTTTAACTGATTTCCACTGCATGGCAGCTAAATGGCTACTAGACTTAAAAATTTACACAAATCAAGAAGCAGAATTAGAACATGATATGTTACTCACCAGTACGACCAATGTCTTGTTTGTTGCTGCAAAGCTCTTCGTATGTTGGTTCTCCTGCTGCATTAACAAGCTCAGTGCATGCTGTTTCTCCTACAGTATTGTCAGCTCCATTGCATGTGGAAACAACAAGAGCGCCCGAGGGAGCAATGGTGCTTTCTGAAGCAGGGTCTTCGGCTCTTTCATCTTGTGAGGAGACACCCTGCTATAATTCGAGGTCTTCAGCTATTCCAGGATATGCATATACAACTCCACATGCAATTATATCAATGAAAATCATATCAAAATCGAATAACAGGTGACAGAATTTCATCAATTCAAATTATTGGCACTCAATGCAATACAGAAAATGAACCATCTAGCTGATTTCCTATTTATACAAGCTTAAACGGAAAGTATAACTAAATCTACCCTAAGCAGAGATCCCCAAAAAATACGATCCAAGAGAGATAAGCAAATAATGTTCAGACCTTTGTAGTTAAAGACACCATAACATTTTAGGCTAGTAGTTGTAGAAATATGGATAGCTTATTTTGGCTGGACTGTAGCTAGAAATGCATGTTTAACACAAGATATGTTGCAGAGAAGGGGAAATCCTTTGGGATGTGCAAATCAGCCTCTGCAATCATTGCAGAAGAGGAAACTACAAGCTTTGGAAAAATATAATACTCAGTCCCGCACTTAAATGAAGGATTTTGAGGTGATATACTTTAGTCACTGATACAAACTAATTATGTCCTGCAGGATATGCAAATTTAATACTGGTCAAAGTAGTTCTAAGTTTCACTTATTTGTGCTACAGAAAATCATTCGCTGACAAATATTCTAGTATCAAGTTCCAAACAAATATATAAATGAATGTGCAGATGCTCATACTGCATACACAAATGATCGATTAGAGCAGGCGAAGTTAGCAGTAAGATCTACTTACATTGATTTCAATGAGATGCTTTATGTATTAACAGATTTGAGGAACCATTTTTCTCCAACAACAAAGGACACCATTTGATGGACTATTACAGGTTATTTATTGTAAACACGGGATAATACATGAAAGGCAGAAGCAATCAAAAACCAGCAATTAGGAAAAATGGGCAGTAGACTCCGCATGACATAAAGACAATTATTCATCAGCAAACTTAGATGACACAAAGTATACAGCCTGCTTTTCCTGCAGTAAATAACAAGGATCTCTTTTCCACCTTTGATAAGAAACACTTTGGGGATAAACCAAAGACGACTCCATTTTGAAGGCTCAATTCACCACAACTTTTTGGTGCTAATATTCCAACTCTTTTTTTTTTTTGATAACCGTGGTGTCCGGGCCAGCTTGCGCGCACCTCGACTAATTTCACGGGGTACCTGCCACCTCCCACCAACAACAGGTACCAGGTAACTTTATCCACCAAGGCTTGGATAGATGGGAAGAAAACACCTAGTATTTGGCTCCGCTGGGATTTGATCTGAAACCTCATGGTTCTCACCCACTCCATTGACCACTAGGTCACACCCTTGGGTGCTAATATTCCAACCCTTACTACTATCACTTGCTTCAATATAATATTGTTGTATATAACTTGTTTCAATCTAACACTTCACATTGTTGTCAATATTTTGCATTTAAAAATCTAACCAAAACACTATTCTCAGACCCCAGTGCAAGGTCTGTTCTTTGTAAAATGCCGTATGCCACTTGGGTTAAGTATTTTCTATATTCAATTAAACCTCTATAAAATATATGATTCCCTACAATAAACATTTCCCAAGAAAAATACTTTTCATTTTCCTCCATAACTGAGAATGGAATAGTACCTTTTGTGTTTGGATTTGCTGCTCTTCATCATCTTTGGCTTCTTGATCGCGAAGAATAGCGTCAATGAGCTCCTTGTAGCCGCTATCCTCTATGAAAGCCCACCCTTCCCACCCTTCATCTCCTTCGTATTCCTAAAAATAGTGAGACGATCGAACGAATAAGCTTAGCTAACCCATTCTATTAAGCCCCAAATGGGCAGAGAGTTAAGAGCTGATCAAACACATAAAAGAAATTCACAAAATAGAGAATATGAAACCATTTTCAAGGTTCAAAGCATCGTCTTTTCCGTAACCATTAACCAAAACAGGGAAACCCAATAGGCTAACAAACCTTGAGGAGTTTATTCACTGTTTTCCGAACGAGCAATTCATCAAAGCCGAAAGGTGTCATAGCATCAACTGCTGCGTCCATTCTGCTTAATCTCTGCCAAATAAAAACCCCAAAAAATAATAGTGAAAAAGCAACAGTAGAAGGGGGAAAAAGCAAGAAACAAGATACTCCGTACAACTATAAAGGAAAAAAGGGTGTAAAAATCGAACCTTTCTGGGTCTTCCTCTGGGTGCCATTGTTGTTGAGCTTGGAAGGAGTGAAAAAGACAGAGCAGAAGAGGAGATAAAAAGAGAGTGCGGAGAAAAAAGGAATATGCAATAAAGTACGAAAACAGAAGTTGTTTCTTGTTTCAATCCCTGAAACTGAAAATGGCAAAAAGAGAGTGAGGTTTTTGGATGGAGAGAGCAGAGCAATAGAGAGCGGGAGATAGTAAACCCCGTAAATGGCAATGAATACATATAGATGCATGTGTCATCAGTCAACGTTTTATATAGAAGAAGACGGATATGCGTTCAAATATTGTACGGTTTCACACGTGGCGTTCTCATATTGGGTAAGTTTTGACTATAGGCTTAGCGTTTGCCCCATGACTTTCCTTATTTGTGCCCAACATATACTAGTACATGGCCTTCCTTTTTTGCATTGGCACACCCGAATTTTCAATTTTCAATAATTAAGGTTAGAAATTCGATACTTAGTGATATTATTTTTAATACTACGAAAAATAGTTCATATTTATTTCTTTATTAATTGAAATTGTTCAATTTTGTCCTCATTATTGGTCTATTTATGATTTTGTTGTTAGCAAATTGTTTTGTGCTTGTCCTTTTCATTAACAGAGCTCCAATATAAAATGAGTGGATTTCATGAGTCCAAATTCTTACAAAAACTTGTCCAAAATGCATTGACTTTTGATAATGGTTTAAAATTATCTGCTGGAACTTTATTAAGAGAATGGTAAAAATGGAACTTTATTATGGCTATGGGATCAGATTGATGCCGCAATAGTTTTTGTATTGATCAGGTTATATGCCACGCAGTATTGATCGGGTTGTATGTATATATTAGTATGAATTCTGGTGTTAGTCGGTGATATTGACTTCCTTTGTAGATTAAGCTATGTTGTTCAAGGATATCGTTTCATCCCCGTTGATTTGAGCTGTTGAGAAAGATTTTGGTTGTTTAATTCGAGAAACATGGCTATTACTTCTTTTATCGAATCCTTTTACTATTTTGCGCCTATTGAGAATGATTATATTTATGTGTATTAGATGTGTAGCACTAATAGTGTAGTGGAGTTAGTAGTAGTGGTAATTTGGTAATTAGATACTTCACTCTTTTCTCTTTACCCTTTACTCACATCTATATACACACATTTTAACAGAAATAAATATAATATAGATTCATTTTTCCCATTTCTTCTCTCTTCTTGAACCTTCTCTCTCAAGCTCAGAGAGTTTCATCAATAGAGAAATCTCAGTCATTTTTTAATTCCCGTTTTTGACATGGTATCAGAGCAAGGTTCGCAACCTCCGATCTATGCCTAGTCTGTGTTTCATTTCTTCTTCGTCGTGTTCACCCGATTTGAAATCGCAAATCGGAAGTTTTTCAATTCGCAATTTCTCCTAGAAATCACTGGTTCATACACTTTCAACCCTCAATCGATCCAAATTCCTAACATTTTCTACATCAATTCATGGTTGAAGACAAAGATACCAATGATACTACCTCAATTTTGGATTCGACCAACCCGTTATACATGCACCCATCGGAAAGTGCTGGGACTGTGCTAGTACGGGTAGTATTTGACGGCACCGGCTACAGATCCTGGAGAAGAGGCGATCTCAGAGCTCTCTCTGTGAAGAACAAAGTTGAATTCATCACAGGAAAGTGCAAAAAGCCTAATGCTGGAGAAGCGACCTACGATCAATGGGCCCGATGTGATGATATGGTGACTTCATGGATTCTGAATTCACTCTAGAAGGATTTAGCTGATGGATTACAATACGTGAACGATGCAAAAGAGTTATGGCAAGAGCTTGAGGACAAATATGACCAAATAAATGGAGCAAAACTTTACCAATTACAGAAGAAAATCAATGACCTAAATCAAGGAACCCTATATATAACCGGATATCACACGAAGATGAAGAAACTCTGGGAGGAACTCAATACCTTAAATGCACACGCCCAATGTGGTTGTCAGTTGTCACGACCCAAAATCTCACATGTCGTGATGTCGCCTATATCAATACTAGACAAGCCAAAAATCCCAATAAACCACTATTTCTTTTAAATTTGAAAATGAAATAATTAATTCAGCGGAAGAAATCTCAAATTTTCAAATATATGTCACGCCCCAAACTAGGGGAGGCATGATTGGCACTCGATACTGTATTCGATCGAGTTAGCCACTAAACATACTAGCTAACTAGACTGGAGGCCCAACAGATCGGGCAGCACAACATTTGAAATACTAAGCCTGGACCGTAAGGTTATGACATGAATAACAATAAGCCATATAAACATAGGTAGACAAGCCAAAATAATAAAATACTAGTTGGCCGACGAGGCAGCGACTGAAGGCATACATGCCTACACACCTATATATACATGCCAAGCCTATGGGCTGGAGACTGAAAGCACCAAAAAGAAACCCAGAATATTGTATCCACAATAGCCTCTAAGAGTGTCATAAGAACTGTCGGGATAAGGCCCCAACTATACCCAAACTGTACAACAAAAGTAACCATCCTATGAAAGCTCCAGGAAGAGGTGGAGCTTACCAACTCACAGCAGAACTCCGAAATCCTAGCGGAGGGGTCGATCAGAGTCCCTACCTGGACCTGCACGCACGAAACAAAAA